CACTCTCGGCTAACAGCCGGCAAGAAGTGGCTTGATGTGCTCTGAGAACTTCGCAGCCAGGCCTGCAAGGCAAGTGACTGGCAAGGAGGCGCCAAGTCCTGGCCCGACGTTTCGGGACTGGCCGCGATGTAAGGGATGACCCGGAGATGCCAGACATGGAGCGCCATTACATGAGTAGTTCTCTACACCTAGCAAGGTTTCCAGCAAAAGATGGTGTCATGCAATATCCTGTCGCTTGCTACTTGACCCGACTCGGGCAAGCGCGTGCTTCATCAACAAGTGATGTCATTCGTCAACACGGGCAGCCGCTTGCTCGAACACAACAATGGCAAAGAGTGCTTCAGAGGGTGCATCTGGATTGATCCTAGCCTTGGCTATCCGAGCAGCACCTTACACAGCCTTGCCAAGCCTTGTCATGCTTCAACATGGAGCCGCCTCCAGCTTTCCAGAAAAGGGGCCGCTCGTGCCGCACAGAAATGCAACTTGCAAATGGCAAGTGAAGTCCAGGGATGGCCAGATGTAGGCCCATGTAGGCCATGCAGGCGACACTGGGAACAGTTTGCCACAAATTCTCCCAGCTTCGGGCAGGTGTCCCTCCCCGAGTCCCAGGTGTACAAGTTCGTCCTGTCCAGGTGGCACAGGCGCCGTTGCCTAAATCAGGGTCAGAGATGCTGCTGCCTGCCGAGGGGTAACTATAAGCTTGAGGACAGGTGCCATTTCGGCAATCAGCGAGAATGACCCAAATGTGTGAAGGAACGGTTCGCGGTTTGAGTCCGCAGGCTCACCAGCTGCAATTCGGGTTAGGACTGGTAGTCGTACCCGTTTTGAGGTGAGCTTGACACAGACAGCAGCCTCACAAAAAGACATGGTAGTGGTATGTAGTGGTTAAACAGTGGTCATGGCGGTGGCGGTGCTGTCGCTGTCGTCGTCAATGTCGTCGTCGTAGTAGTGGCATCCATAGCGGCAGTTAATAATCGCAACAACAGGGCCAGCAGGACTGACAATGAAGATTAAAGCTGTTCATTTCCAGGTCTGCTCCATGCACATCATAGCACAAAGTCAAGGCTGTCTCATGCTCGCAGCCAAGGTTCCCAAGGCGCAGCCTTTGTCAGTGCCTCCAGGGACTCTCATCTCGCGGAAGTAAGGATGAAAGATGTAGGCTTGCCGGAAATCCAGGATTTTTCCAGAATTTTCCAGAAGCAAGAGCGAGGTTCCTGAAGATTGTGGATCTCTCACACAGATACACGCACACATACGCCTCACCTGCAGGCAGCAGGGACGGGGCCGGCACTCGAAGTCTCCTGTTCCCACAGGACATCATCCATTATTATCTCGAGAGTTTGGATGATGTTGATCTGTTGTCAGTTGCTGAAGCCCTTGAGATATCTCCGAGAATCCCCCGGGGTGCGGCCTCAAGGAAGAAATGCACACAAGACTCGTTGTTTTGCACTGGCTTATCTTGAAAGATTCGCTTCGAACTAGCACCTCGCAAGTGTGCTGCATCGATGTATATTTGCGCTGCCCCTGCATAGTTACTGCCATGTGTAGCCAGCTACCTGTGAGGTGGTGCAGCTGTCGTGATTCATTGCATCTGTTCCCTCTATTTAAATACACCTGGCTGATGTCACTGGTGGTACAATTTTTGTGTATTTCGTGTTTAGGCCGTCTTCAAAGGTACGTCGGCATTCTGGGATATCTCGATGCAACCAAGGACCGCAACGCGTCCAAGACCGTTCGCTTTCCCACCTCCGCGGCTTCCAGTCGCCCGGATGCAACCAAATCTACCCATAGAGAACCATAAGAATAAATCAGCCTCGTCTGTACGGCTCCACCCGAAACCCCAACCCTGAGCCCAAACAGAACCTAAACCGGAATCCCAATCAAAAGAGGGAGAAGCCACCAAGGGTGACACATGTTATCTACGAAGGGCCTCGAGAGGAGAGCACTCGAGGTGTCGGACTCTCTTCGTCAGGCCGTGCAGCCTGTTCCTGGCCTCCTGGCTGGGTTTCCCACACCGGAATCAAGAATGGACACACAGCAGATGGGCATGGATATAGGCAATGACATGGATATACAATCAGTATGTGTATATATATATATATGTATGTATATATGTATGAATATGATTAATTATATGACATGATATACACACACACACATATATATATATATATATATATATGTATTCAGTTCCGTGTTCTTAAAGACCTAGGCTGCCTAGACATGCCTGAGGTTCGACACGACCGTCGGGGCGTCACTGGTTTCCGGTGTTGGAATATATTTGGTCTCATTGAGTTCTACTAAATACTCTTAGTATGCCGAGACATTCCGGCAGATAGCAAACCTCTCATGTAATCAGCCACATTCAGCCCATGTCGCAACTTCGAGTGAAACCCCGATACACCCCAACAGAATCTCCTGCAGTGCGAGTCAGACAGGCAGCGATTCTGCGAGCATAGCATTAAACATTACCCTCACTTTGCAGCAATGTGGTGTCTGAAAAACTACGAAAAGGTTTCATAGGTTGTATGTAATTCATGCATGCGCTGTGTTGCGAAATTCTCACGCGAGCCTGCGACCCTAACATGACGCGTCTAGATCGAGCGAGAGAGCACAAACCCGACGTCTCCTTCGCTCAGGTCGCAATGAAATCTGCAAATACGGTTCATCATGCGAGCGTGCCGGCTGCTGGTCGGGTGCTTACAAACTACATGCGAACCAACGTTGGGGCAAGGCGTGATGCATGCGACAGTGTGAACCACAACATATAGCAGCTAATATAGTAGCAGTCTTGCGGGGACTGGAATACTCGTATCATCATCATAATCATCGTCATCATCGTCATCATGATCATCATCTTTATCCTCATCATTGTCTTGTTCGCCAGAATCGTCGGCAGGATCAAAACAGCCTTCGCAATGAAACTCTTCTTGTTCAGTCAAGACTGCCTGATCCATTAGTGAGAAGAACAGTTATCATGGCGGTACCGATAACAATGCAGTAGTCGTAGCTGCACTCGCGATAGTAGTAGTAGTAGTAGTAGT